ACTGATGAGATTGAAGCAAGCAATCGAAAAAAACGGCCAGAACTGATCAACAGAAAGGGCATCGTATTCCATCAGGACAACGCCAGACCACACACATCTTTGATGACCCGGCAAACACTGAGAGAGCTTGGCTGGGAAGTTTTAATGCATCCACCATATAGCCCTGACCTTGCACCTTCGGACTACCATTTATTTCGGTCAATGCAGAACTCCCTTAACGGAGTAAAGTTGGCTTCAAGAGAAGCCTGTGAAAATCACTTGAAGCAGTTTTTCAAAGAGAAACCACGAAAGTTTTACACGAATGGAATTATGTCTCTAGTGGAAAAATGGCAAAAGGTGGTCGACCAAAATGGTGCATATTTGATTTAATAAAGTTTATTATAAATATTTAAAAATATGATTTGAAGTTTCATTACAAATACGAAAAGACTTTTTAGACTACCCAATATAATAGTAGTTAGTCAGTCTACGGCACAGCCTCCGGCGAACCTGACTATTCATAAAAAAAAAGCACATTTGATAAAAATAATACGCGTGCGTACAGAAGCTAAATATCTCGAAAGTTCAGGTATTTGTTTGTCTCAAACATAAATTTGTGTAAATTATTTATATTTATATTTCTCGATTGTTTTATGTGGTTTTGTGCGAGGGCATATTCAGTGTTACTATTGATAAAAATGCCGCGTCCTAGAAGATCTAATCTTTCCCGGCGGACCCATGATGCAATTAGGCATCGGAATATCGCGAGTCAACTATTTGACGAAGAACGAGAAATCGCCGGAGAAAGGCGCCGCGTTAGTACCCAGCAAAGAAGGGCCTTAATTTGTGCTTCTCAAAGAGAGGCAGCCCGTGAAACGGCAATAAGAAATGGTTCAAGGATTGATTTGAATCGAGCAGCGTTTCGATATGATTGCACCATTGACTACAGCTTGAATCATTTAGTTTGCATTGGTCCAATAGACGTTGTTTGCCAGCATTGTGGCGCATTGAAGTTTGCTGGTGAAACGCCCGGTTTGTGCTGCCTTAGTGGTAAAGTGACATTGCCATTAGTGGTCCCGCCACCAGAGCCATTGCGTTCCCTGCTTTAGAATCACGACATTTTCTAGCGAACACTCAAAAATACAATGCCTGTTTCCAAATGACGTCATTTGGGGCGGAAATTATTGGAGACGGATATAATCCGACATTTAAGGTAATTTACGTAAAAAATTTTATTATCTATGATTGTAAAAAACAAGTAAGAACGTTGCAGTCGGGCGATACCGATTGCAGAAGACTCATTCACAGCCCAAACGCTGTCAACCAGAGTATATAGTGCAATTTTCAAGTCTAGTGCGCAACAAAAAACAGGGCATGATCCCATTAAAATTGGAAAATCATCGATAGCTATTGCTATTGTATATAATTTATAAAATTTAGACTTTTAATAATATATATGTATTTATATCCATATATTGGATACCGGCTTCAAGCTAGCAGCAGATCAGCGCGATTTTACTATACATGTGCACACACTCATCGTCTATTCTATGCGTACAGACAGAAGCGCGCCTTTTCTCACATTCTTAGAATTTCGATTGATTTCTGGACTTTCTAGCCGTTACTGTAGTTTTGTCTGATGACGCTCTCTTATTAAGCTATTCTATTTTAGCAACTGATTGCTCGAGCAAAGCAGTGGCGCGGGTGCTAAGGGCGACGCAAGTAATGTTAGAGTAGGGGAGGTTCGAACCTCTACTATGTTATTATTATTATTTTTTTTTTTTCATACATATTTCGTTTTTTATAAAATAGATATTTTATTGGAAAGGTGCGAGCTTGACTGAATGGCACTTAATACTTTTCATTTTCTTAGTCGAATAATTTTATAAGTTTAAATTTGTTTCTTCTTAAATAGCCCTCAAATACATATACGCAAATATATACATATGTATATATGTAAGTCTGCACGCATAGCATCAAGCATTCCAGCCTTATACACGCGCTCATTTGTATGTGTGTATGTATGCACACATAAATGCGTACTCTAGCATATTCTAAGAATCTCGTTGCGATTGATTTGTCTGCATTGTTTTTGAATTTCCAGCCACCACTCTGGCTTTTCTTTGCTATGTGGCGTCATAACAATAATGTGATTTCGTTTTAACTACTGTTCATCGAAACAACGCGGTGGTGCTGTAGGCTGAAGCGCCGGCGATCTTTATTTTAGCTATTTTGACAAACATGCTGTTTGGGTTGGGTGCGAGTTCAAATCCCGCGGAAAACACTTTTTTGTAAATTGCAAATTTTTGTTATTTTAGCTTCTTTTAAATTTTTTTAAATTCATAAAAATGTTTCTTTTTGTATTATGAATATCTATTAAGCTTATTTATATGTACAAATGCATAAATAGATGGCTGACGTATACAAATGTCGCAATACGGGCACTGTAAATGCCGATTGCCACGCCCCTAGTGGCCGTCAACTCCTCAATTTTAGCCAGTTCTTAGAACGAGCAACCGGTTACCTAAATGCAAAATTTGAATTCTTACGCTCAAAAAATGTGAAAATTACAGGGTATTTTTCGATATGCCACGCCCCTAAAGAGGCTTAAAAATTATTTTTGGGGCATCGATATAGAAGGCTACCAGTAACTTAACTATCCAAATTTGAAGCTTCTAGCTCTTAAACTGTAGGAGATATAAACTTTTGCGGTTTGCCACGCCCCCTATGGGCGGACATATATCTACCATAGCTCGTTGGACTTGGGGGATCAACCCGCGTATTTATACCAAATTTCAGATCTCTAGCATCAATAGTGCCTAAAATATAACAGAATTCGAAAAATCACTATATCTTCAGGTCCGATTTGCCACGCCCCTAGTGGGCGTAGATATATAATTTTTTCACCCATCTTCATAGAATTAAAACATCAGCTTACATGCAAAATTTCAGCATTCTAGGTTTATAATTTTAGGAGATACAGTTTTGTCCGATTTGCCACGCCCCCAATGGGCGGAGATATATCTGCCATAGCTCGTGATCTTGGGTGGTCGACGCGGATCTACATACCAAATTTCAGCTTTCTAGCTCTTCAACAAACGTGATTTCTGGTATATCGGAAAATGCATTTTCCGATTTGCCACGCCCCTAGTGGGCGGATCGGGAAAATTTTAACACTTTATAAATCGGAGATATACACGAGTATGTGCTCCAAATTTCAAGTCTCTAGCTTCAATAGCGCCGAAATAGATTGCGTTCATACGGACAGACGGACAGACGGACGGACAGCAAGACGGACATTGCACAAAACCAATATACTCATTTCACTTTCGTGAATGAATCTAAAAAAAAAAATTGGAATAGTGTAGTTTGTTAGATTTCTGTAAAAAGTGTTTGTAAATCTAACTACAACTATGCCATCGCATTGGATCATTGCAACCTATTGAAGATGCACAGCACAAATTCTTGCAAATATACTTCATGGGCAATATGGAAGAACATCTTGACCGGCGTACTATAATCCACTTGTTTAAATAAAATTCTTTAGACGGAAACGCAAATAAGCTAACGGGAAAATGAATTGAACTTTTCCTATAAGTCGCACTACACATTTCAATTATGCATTTCCCGCCACTTCTTCGTGAAGATTTGTTGACGCCTACCGTTGATTTTTTTATAGCACTTGTTTCAGCCATAGTTTCAAAAAAAACTTATATAAATTTGAAAACATGACTAACAATTGAAAACACTGAAGTGATAATGAAAGGTCGTTTAGCACTCCCCTTTCGAAATCACTCGCACAATTAAAAGCCCGTGGCAGGCACACACCAATGTTCACGTATTATGACCATACACATTTACAATATACCACAGGCAGCAAGAATAGTTTCCCACACTAATAGATAATGGCAAATACATGTAAAACGGGACTGTAACGGACGATTGAAGAACATATTGAGAAAGAATTGAGTTTCGCGACGCACGCACACTAAAGCCCATACTGTAAATGTGTGTGTGCATGCAGTCGCGAAAATGTATTCTTTATGTGTATTTACCGTCGATCAACCTTGTGAAGTGAGCTCATACATACATTTGCATATGTGTGTGTATGTATGGGATGGGATGATAATTGTCTGGCGATTCAGTAGCTTGTCAATCTTGTATGGCTTGAATTGTAGAGGGACTGTCAAATGAGCCTTTATGACTTCATCAGTAATTTTGGCAATAAAGATCATTTCGACATGTGTATTTCATTTCCACTTGAAGTTTTTATAGTCCACAAGCCAATATTGCAAAGCATTTAATAAACTTATTAGTATACCCCGATAAAATTTTTTCGGTTGAAAATTTGAATAAAATATGTAATTATAATTATATACAATATAAGTTTTTATCAATACACGCATTTATAAAAATGATTAGATATAATAGAATATAAATGTACGTAAATAAGTACATTTGCTTGGAGTGGATATGACAGTCCGTAGGACCAACTAACCAGCGGCAAAATGATCTTTATTGCCAAAATTACTGATTATGTCATAAAGGCTCATTTGACAGTCACTCTACAATTCAAACCATACAAAATTGACAAGCTATTGAATCGCCAGACAATTATCATTCCATCTCATACATACATACACATATGTATGCAAATGTATGTGCTCCCTCAAAGGCCGATCAACGGTAAAATTTATGCATTACAATTTGCTCAGGCAGCAAATTTTACGCACACAAGCCACAAATGCTCACACATGTTTCCAGAGACTGCAAGTGTGTGTGTACTTGCCCGTCGCGAAATCATATTCTTTATGCGTATCAACGCTTTCATACCCTTCCCACGAATAACCATCGAAACGCTTACATTTTGTTTGCATGAGCGTGACAAACGCTTTTATGATTTCTGTCCTTCCAAAAGGAGTCTGGTCCGTCGATGGGCCAGTGTATAGTATATAATTTAAGATGTAGACTGCAACTTGCGGTCTCTCTAAATAGGCACGAACGAAGTGCTGGCACCGGTGTTCAATTTTGTACTACTTTTATTGAATTTCAACAGTAACGCAAGCGCAGCTTGCACAGTAGAAAGCTCATCTAAGCGCGAGCAGCGGGAGAGCGATTGTTTGGCGAGCGACACTCCCGTGCTAGCGTGTACGACAACAACTACTTTACAGTGGTTTCATTTCCATTCTTAACCTATACAATTTTAATAATTCAATTTCTTCATTTTTTTAATTCTATATAATAAAGAGGGCATATATCCAAATGCCTCAACATTGGCCGCGTTGAAAGGCCGCAGGGCTTCAATAATATGGGGTATTAGTTGAGTAGCAGTGGGGCAACACGATGAATAGCCCTATTGTATGTGCCATTTTTTGTCTTAACGACAATTACGCGCACTCTACCATCTCCTCCGGCTATGGCTTCCGTTACCACGCCTAGCATCCACTGTTGTGGAGGAGCGTTGTCGTCTCCCACGAGCACGACTGCTCCGACCTGTAGGTTCTGCCTTTCCCTCGTCCATTTTGACCGCTGCTGGAGGCTGAGCAGGTAGTCCCTTGACCAGTCGATACAAAACCGACGCTTGATGTTGGATATCAGCTGCCATCTTTTTAAGAGTGTCAGCTTGGCGTCGTCGACTGCTTCTGTGGACACGAGTGGCAGCGGCGCGAGCGTTCCCCCTATTAGGAAGTGCCCCGGCGTGAGCACTTCGCCGTCGTTGGGATTGCTGCTGGGAGCGATCATTAGCCGCGAGTTGAGTACGGCCTCGACCCCGACCAGCACGGTGGCCACCTCGTCTTGCCGTAATCGGGCGCTGCCCATCGCTTTCAGCAGCAAACCCTTCGCGGATTTCACAGCCGCTTCCCAAAGGCCGCCAAAATGCGGCGCTCGAGGAGGGATGAAAACAAACTCCATGCCCCGCTCCGCAGCAAACGTTTCCATAGCCGATGTGTTGCCATGAAAAGTTGCCTTGAGGTCCAGCGTGCGTGCAGCACCCACGAAATTGGTGGCATTGTCGCAATACAGCTTCCGGACAAGCCCACGTCGACCAACGAACCTGGATAAACACATCAGAAATGAATTTGAGGTTAAATCGGTGACTAAGATGCACTGCCTTCGAAGTGAAACAAACAAATATGGCAATATACATTTTGACTGGCGATTTGCCACGAATTCCCAGCGAAACTAGTATTGGACCACAGAAGTCCACTCCACTGATCTCTAATGGCCTATTACCATGTAACCGGTCAGCGGGAAGATTGCCCATTATTTGGGATAAGAGTTTCGGTTTGTAGCGAAAACAATGTACACATTTTCTAACTACTGCACTGCAAGCCTCTCGAGCATTGACCAGCCACACCTGCTGACGAACCAGGCCCATTAGTACCAGTGGATTGGCGTGGCAATGAGAGCGATGCAAATGCTCCAAATAAAGCGTCACAAAGCGACACTTTTTTGGAAGCAACAAGGGGAATTTGGCATTATGTGCTAGTGGTGCCTTCAATAGACGACCTCCGACTCGTAGCACGCCTGCCATGCTGATGTGGGTGCAAAAAAGGCGTCAGTTTTTGTAATGACGGTTGCAACCCGATTGATTTCTTTACTTTCTTAATTTCTTCGCTGAATTCGATGTGTTGAATTACAGATATGACTGCAAGGAATGCGAAGCTTAACTCAGATGCTGTAGGAACAAGTGAAGAATGACTCTCTTGTTTTCCATTGATAAAGCGGAACATATATGCAACGATGCGGAGTAGCTTAGAGAATTACGAAGTTGATTCAATAAGTTGTATGACTGGATTTGTTACCTCATCGACCGCGATCATAAGCTCAACTCAACCTCAACCTCAACTGAACATCCCCGAGATACAATATCTGCTGGGTTATCTTTCGTTGGTACATGAGGCCAAGATACAACGAATATATTCAAGCTAGATGAATGCATTCGCAGCCAATGAAGCACCACCTCAGAGTCTGATCAAAATGTGACTTGATTAATAGGACAATCAAGTATTTTCTTTACCGCATCCCACAAGGTAGCTAACAATTCTGCAGCACACAACTCCAGCCGCGGAACAGATTTTGTTTTCAAGGGCTACCTTCGATTTGGCGACTAGCAGCCTGGTAGTGATACCCTTATCTGTTTGCATTCTTACGTATAAACAACAACCGTAAGCTCTCGTTGAGGCGTCAGCAAATCCATGGATTTGACATCCCTTCGATTTAAGTGTGCCAACGTAACGAGGTATATGCAACGAGTTTAGATTTGAAAAACAGCTGGTTACTGCCTCAAATTCTTGCCTCATTTGAACAGGCAATTGGTCATCCCACCCAAGTTTGTGCAACCACATTTCTTGTAAAAGGACCTTCGCACGAGTTACGATCGGACTTAACAAACCTAAGGGGTCGTATAACCTTGCTACAATTGACAAAACGGAACTTTTGGTCTGTTGAACTTCTACTGGACAGTTCATGGAATATCTAAAACTGTCATTCATCGGATTCCAAATTAATCCCAATGTTTTTGTGTCCTCTTGATGACCAATAACTATATCGCTTCTAGCTGGTTGTGCTGCAAGTTGTTTACAATTGGACGACCATTTTGTGAGAGGAAACCCAAACGCTTGAAGAATTGCTATCAAGTGTCGATCTAACAAGCACAATTCTTCAACGCTATCTACTCCTGTCAACAAGTCATCAACATAGAAATCTTGGGCTAACGATCTTGCAGCAGATGGATGAGTGGAAGCATGCAAGTCGCTCAGATGTTTCAAACATCGAATTGCTAAGAATGGAGCAGTCGCTGTCCCATACGTTACTGTGTTTAATCGAAAGATTTGTGGGCGTTTCCCTCCATACAATAAGTTGAAAGTTGCGGTGGGACTCGTCAAGCTCAATTTGACGGTACATTTTAGCGATGTCTGCCCAAGGACGAAGTCGAAATCTTAGCAAAGTTTCCCATAACTGCGGCTGGATGGTCGGACCCACCATGAGTAGATCATTCAGCGACAATTGAGAGGAGGACTTGCTAGATGCATCGAACAGTACTCGAAGTTTAGTGGATGCGCTGTGCGGTCTTAGCACGCTTTGATATGGGATGAAATAATGCGGCTCTCTCGGAATTCGATTATCAGTTGGGCTCATGTGACCCAAGGCCAAGTACTCTTTCATAAAGTCAATGTACATTGGCCGAATGTCTTCTTGCTTGCTCATTCTTCTTTCCAAGGCCAGAAATCGTCGTTTGGCTGTCTCATAAGACGTACCAAGACAATGTGGGCTTGATTTGAATGGCAGCGACACTGAAACGACCCGAGGTAGTTTGGCAAATAGTCTCCACAAATGACTTCTCGCACAGTTGTTGCTCTGGGGTATACAAATTCGAATTAATTGTATTTGGCTTTTCTTCCAACTCCCAGAATTTGCGACTATTGAATCTATAGCTGTGTCGTCGTTTACGACGCTAATGAAAGTCGACGAACTAGTAGCTGCATTCAATGTTCGGCAGCGACCAGATACAATCCAACCAAAGGCAGTCAATTGCAATGTTGGGCTGTCATCAGGTCCCTTTATTTTGCCTTCTCTTAATATATCAAAAAAGATATCAGCACCGAGCAACAAATCAATACGTTGTGGCTTCTGGAACTGAGGATCAGCTAATTGTACGTTCTCAGGTACCTTGATCTCTTCAGTGTGCTTCTCTGGTTGATACGACGAAATGGAACGTAGCACACCAAAGTCTCTTCGGGTTTCTAAGTCGTCCGTTCGGGACGCTATCGAAGTTTGAACGCTGTGACGAACAGATGACTGACAATTAGCAATGCCCAACAATTGAGTCCCAGATCTTTGCCTTTCTAATTTCAACTGTTTTGCAAGTTCTTCAGTTATAAAATTAACTTGCGAGCCCGAATCTAATAAGGCTCTAGCTAAGTGATAAGATCCAGATTGATCTTTTATCTTCACAACTGCAGTTGCCAAAAGAACTTGATCAGAGGCTATCCGTGCGTGATTTACAGATGAAATCTGTGACGAAGTGATACGAGGGACTGCTGATACAACTGCTGAGCTACTTTGAGCCGCCTCAGAGCTGTATCTGTGCAGTATGGTATGGTGCGGCTTAGAGCACACACGACAGTGGGCTGATTTGCAAGCAGCCACTGAGTGTCCTGTTCGCAAACAATTTATGCAGAGCGGATAGCTTTTTGCGAACGCAAAACGTTTCTGGCAGGGTATTGCTGCGAATGAGGAACACGAGTGAATGAAGTGATCATTCTTTTTACAAAACACGCATTTCGGACTCTGTGACTGACTTTGCAGAGCGACAGCTAGTAAAGTTTTTCCGATTCTTTTCTTACTATCCTGAGCTACCTTACGACTTGGACCAGCACTTCAGCACTTAAATGCTGATACCGTCTGTTTTAGGCAGCTTCACAATCTTGCCACAATGGAAGTTTATTGTAGTCAAGATTCTCTTCCCACCTAGAGCGCGTGCCAGCGTCCGCTTTCATCATTACTAAATGGATGAGCATGGCATTCGAAATCTGCTTATCAGAGCCTAGCGATAATAGAGACTCATAAATGGCACGGACTGAGTCTATCAGCATGCGCAAAGATGATGCTGATGGTTCGGACATGTGTGGGAGGTCAAATAGTTTCGAAATGCTGTTAAAAAATATGAGACACTGATTGTCGTACACATTTTTTAAAGCAGCTAACGCTTTTTGGTAATTAGCATCTGTCACCTGATATGCATTGATAGTACCTAATGCTTCCTTGTCCAAGCATGACAACAGGTGATTAAACTTCTCTATATTTGATAGCCCTGGCTCGTTGTCAACTAAACTCTCAAAAAGTCCAATGAAATTCTTATATTCCGAATATTCTCCGCTAAATCTTGGCAACTTTATATTCGGTAGATTCCTAGAGTGTGACACTGAGCTAATCCTCGTAGAGCTAGCGGGACTCTCACTTTTAGGTTGGTTATCACTACCTCGCTTCATTAGAAGTGCCTTTGTTGACACACACAAATCCTCTAACGTTGAACGAGGCACTAAATCTGCATTAATGTCGTCCAACTCTTGTTGTGTTTTAAAGGCCTTTTCTATGTAGCGGTTCAATATCTCAAGTCGACATTCAATTTCAAATGGCTCTACTGGTTTAGTGTAATCCTTCAATGATTTGTTTATGCGAGTTATATCTTTTGTAACATTTTTATATACGGCCAACAGAGCTTCGACACGCTCCGTTGATAACTCGTCCATAGACCGATTCTTTTCTCGCTTATTAGTCATGATGCTATAAGTGATGCTCAGTGAAACCAATTTCAATCGAAACAAATAAAAGTTCACCTAATGTATGACAACAAGCGAAGAGCAACTCAAGAATGTTAACAAATGCGCGCGATCGTAATAAATCTCAATATATTACGCTGGCAGTGTTAAACTATACTTGAGTGACTGTTACAGACAGCTGTTAACGATATAGCGGAGACAACAACCAGAATGTTTAGTGACTATTAGTGTAAGTGATCTATTGAGTGAAACTTAACTATGTAGATCAATTGAGTGCAATGTATTCACACATACACATGTACAAGCGAGAGCGCGCCGGTATGTGCAAGTGAGAACGCAACGATATTGCAGGCTTGAAATAAAAATGTAGATCGAGCTCATACGATGAGCGCAAAGCGAGAGTGTAAGTTTTGAGCGGCAATAAATCCAAGTGACAAGCGCAAGTAGTGAGCGCACAACGAGAGCGCTACTGTGTGTAAGCGCGAGTACAAACGATATTGCTAGCGAGCATGCAAATGATGAGCGTAAATTAAAGCGAAATTTACTGTGTAAGCGCGAGTGCAAACGATATTGCAAGCCAGCTAACAAATGAAGAGCGTTAAGTACGAGCGCAAAAACGAGAGTGCGAGACGAAAATGAGCAAAAAACTATAACACACTAACGGCGCCAAAGAAAACTTTGATTATGCGAGGCAATAGAGATTGAATTTTTTGCAGATCAAAGGTCAATTACAATATGCACCTTATATTTTATTAAATTTCAATTTTAAATAAGCTCAACATAATGTACATAGGCGTAGATTGTACATACATTAATATTTTGTAAGTCTCAAGTAATGCATTTATTTATTTATCGCTTGCATTACTTGGTCATCTATGTGCTCTACGTATTTATGTACTTCCCTGATTATCCACAAAGTTCATAATCCAGCTTCCTTCAATTCCAGAGAAAGTCCACCCGGGGGCGCCAAAAATTTCCTTCCAAAAGGAGTCTGGTCCGTCGTGTATAATATATTCTTTAAGATGTAGACTGCAACTTGCGGTCTCTCTAAATAGGCACGAACCAAGTGCTGGCACCGGTGTTCAATTTTGTACTACTTTTATTGAATTTTAACAGCAACGCAATCGCAGCTTGCACAGCAGAAAGCTCATCTAAGCGCGAGCAGCGGGAGAGCGATTGTTTGGCGAGCGACACTACCGTGCTAGCGTGTACAACAACAACTACTTTACAGTGGTTTCATTTATATTCTTAGCCTATACAATTTTAATATTTAATTTTAAATTCAATTTCTTCATTTTTTAAATTCTATATAATAAAGAGGGCATATGTATATCCAAATGCCTCAACAATTTCGGTATACCCTTCACTCAAAAGGAAAGAGCTGGGATCGTCGCGAACAATTTTCAATTTATGTGCGCTGCTACTATTTGAGAGACCATAGAGAGAGAGAGTATAAAGAGAGGGAGAGAGTGAGGAAGGGAAAATGAGCGCATAACCGTGCTTCATTTGATAATGTGTGCATTTCGTGGCAGCAGTCGCAGCGCACTGATTTTGTCTTGCCTTATTTTCACTGCTTGAGCCTCAAACGACCGAGCCGACCAAATACGAAGTTGTCCGGTCTCCTCAGCGCATTTTTTCGGTGTTGAAAAAGTTTGTTCTACATGTCTAGTCTATGTGTTCTCTGGTCAGTGTTGCCGAAACTTTTTCAGCAAAAGTAGCAAAACCGAAGGCTGAAAGTAGGTAGAAGTAGCTAGCTTCAAAAATAGCTGAAAAAGTAGCAAAAAAGAAAACAGTGCTGTTTTTTTCATAAACAGTCAACTTTATTAATTTAATTCTGATAATATCTCATCTATGACCACCAACTCGTCATGTTCACCATTGTCGCTTTTATAATTTGCCTTTTTAAGGTAGTTGGGTGGAACGCTATACTCATAGCAACATTTGCCATGTCGGCGTAATCCATATGTTTTGTGGACATACAATCTTAATGAAACATTCAAAACGTGATCATATGGCTAAAATGTGCGTACATTCAAAAGCACAAGCCTCTAGTACTTGAAATGCGTTTTTTACAAAATGGTGACATCAATGGGTTCAGGGTATAAAAACTGATAAGAAATGAATTTTGCATAACATATTAGAAAGCTTACCTATTCTTCAGTTGTTGTATTAATTCTCAGTACATTTAAATCATTTACATTTAAAAAGTATCGAAGCCAATTTCTATATATATAAAAGAGAGTTGTGTAAAAGTGTCTTAACACTTATAACTCGAGATCTGCTGGACCAATTTTCATGGTTTTTGATTTGTTGGATTTGTCTCCGCCACGAGTAGGTCAGTAGATCTTTAAAATACTGAAAAAATTTGACGAATACTTGAAAAACGCGGTTTTTTCCCTAAAGATTCAAATTTCCATTTATACTCAGTAGCCTTGACAACAGTGACAGTTTCGGTCCTGTATAGAAGTAAATAAACAAATGTAGTCAGTCAGTCTACGGCACAGCCTCGAGCAGACCTGACTATTCAACAAAAAAAAAAAAAAAAAAAAAAAGACTATTCAACAAAAAAAAAAAAAAAAAAAAGACTATTCAAAAAATAAAAAAAAAATCAACAAAAAAAAAATTTTTTTCCAAATCAAAAAGAAAAATATTTCAAATCAAAAATCTGCAAAAATTCAAAAAAATCAAAAGATTAAAACCTGACTGTTCAAAAACTAAATAAAAAATTCAAAATTCGAAATTCAAAAAAAAACAAGTAAGAAAGCTCTAGTCGAGACTGCTCGACTACGAGATCCCCTGAACCCTTGGAGCAATAGATATTTCAATACTTTTTCGCGACTTTCAGCTTACACAAGAAACACGCACACACACACACACACGCACGTACGCACACACAGGTAAACATACACACACACGCATATAGACACACATACACACACACACGCATACAGACACAAACGCATACACACACACACATACACATACAAGCAACCACGCATAAACACGCATGGGCTGCAGTGTGCGCTTACTATGAGAACTTAATTGCTTAATAACTTTTTTTATGGACGTACGATCTTCATGAAACTTTTAGATTATGATTATAACATGAATATGCATGTACTTGCCAAAGCACAAGTCTCTAGTATTTGAAATACGCTTTTTACAAAAGTGAGGGTGAGGGGGTGAATTTAGAGGTGGGGGGTAAATTTTAACAAAAACCGAAATTGTATAAATTGCATATAAGCATACATTAAAAATTTGGAGACTCTAGCAATAAAGGTGTAGAAGATATAATTTTATGACTGGGTTTCGATAAGGTTTTTTATCGATAAAAAAGATCGGGATGAGTTATCGATTTTTAATGATAAACTTGATATGCGCGCTGTAATTACGGACATTTTAAAAAAAATTTGAAGTCTCTAGCTCTTATATCTTCTGAAATCGACGCGTTCATACATACGGACAGACGGACAGACGGACAGACAGACGGACAGGGCCAAATCAACTCAGCTCGTCACCCTGATCAAGAATATATATACTTTGTGGGGTCTGCCACGCCTCCTTCTCCCTGTTACATACATTTCAACAAAACCATTATACCCTGATTTCCCATTGAAAATGGGTTCAGGGTATAAAAAAGTTAATTATTAAAAAGTGTATTTTTGGCTTTTTATATTTTTGTACTTTTAAACTTTATAAATATTTCAAATCAAAAATCTGCAAAAATTAAAAAAAAAAAAAATCAAAAGATTAAAACCTGACTAATCAAAAATAAATAAAAAATTCAAAATTCGAAATTAAAAAAAAAAAAAGTTAATTATTAAAAAGTGTATTTTTGGCTTTTTATATTTTTGGACTTTTACAAAAGCTAAATATCTCGAAAGTTCAGGTATTTGTTTGTCTCAAACATAAATTTGTGTAAATCTATATATATAAAAGAGAGTTGTGTAAAAGTGTCCAAACACTTATAACTTGATATGTGGTGGACCAATTTTCATGGTCTTTGATTTGTTGGATTTGTCTCCGGAACGAGTAGGTCAGAGACAAATCCAACAAATCAAAAACCATGAAAATTGGTGCAGCAGATCTCGAGTTATAAGTTTTGTAACAAACTCTACTTTGTTTTATATATGTATATAGAGACTGTTAGGCGGTACGAAGTTCGCCGGGACCACTCGTTTTGTTATACAAGCGAACTGCATTTTAGCTAAATTTAATATTTGAAAATAGCCAGATTTGTAGAATAGCTGCACTGACCAAAGAACACATAGATGAGACATGTAGAACAAACTTTTTCACCACCGAAAAAATGTGCATTAAGGACTACTCACTTTCGTAGTTGCTCGGCTCCGTCTCTTACGGCTCGAGCAGTGAAAATACAACACTACAAAGTCAGTTCGTTGCGAGCGCTCAAACGAAATGGTCCCATTCTTATATGAAGCAAGGCTATGCGCTATTTGTCCTACTCTCTATCTCACTCTATCTCTCTCTTTGGTCTCTCAAATCACCGAACTCAGCAGCGCACAAAAATTGAATTTTGTTCGCGATGATCCCAGCTCTTTCCCTTTGAAGTGAAGGGTATACCTAATCATAAAAGCGTTTGTCACGCTCATGCAAACAAAATGTAAGCGTTTGTATGGTTATTCGTGAGAAGGGTATGAAAGCGTTGATACTCATGGAAATGCTTTCGCGACGAGTGTGCACACAGACACACACTTGCAGTCTCTGGAAACATGAGCATTAGTGGCCTGTGTCCGTAACTCTTGCTGCTTGTAGTAATTTTAAAGCCCAGCATTTACATTTGGTCGGTTTTTTGCTCACAAACATACATACATACATGTATATACATATGTACATTTGATTGTGTGTATGCGTATATACATATGTATGGAATGGGAAGATAATTGTCTCTCGATTTAATAGTTTGTAAATTATGTATGGTTTGCATTGTAAAGTGACTGTCAAATGGGCCTTTATGACTTAATATGACATGTGTATTTCATGTCCCATTTGAAGTATATATTTATAGTCTGCAACCCGAAATATTCCAAAGCATATACATACATACATATGTTCATATGCAATTTTTAAAATAAGCATATGTTCATACATGTAGAGGTCAAGATGACATAAAAATCATGCAAGTAAAACAAATATCAAAAGTATTAGAAAGTGCACTTGTCACTTTAGTTAGCTAATTAAATATTGCTATGTATGTACATAAATGCGATTCTGCAATTCGTATTTCGAACTCTAAATCGTTCACACAATTTTAGATTGAGGTAGGTCCACGCCAATGCTCATATCCCATGCATACACACAAAGACATATGTATGTACACATACGCACATGTAAAGGACAGAGGCATACAAATGCTTCTACAAGTGATATCCCATAATTGTGAGCATCGCATCCCATGCGTACACACAATCAAATGTATATACATACATACATATGTATGAGCACTTCACAAGATCGACCAAATGCAAATGCTAGGATTTCAAATTGCTACAGCCAGCAAGGGCTTTGCATACAGGCATACAAATGCTCATAGTACATATAGCATACTGTAAGTGTGTGTGTGCATGCTCGTCGCAAAAACATTTTCATTATGAGCACCAACGCTTTCATACTCTTCCCACAAATAATAACGCAAACGCATGGCAAACGGTTTGAAAAGTTCGGAATACTCTTCACTCAGAAGGGAAGACAAGGGTTCTTGCTGCGAAGAAATTTCAATTTTCGTGAGCTGCTGCTTGTGCTCACAATGTGAGCCTCACATGCATACATACATATACACATTTGAGAGAGCAGAGAGCATCGAGAGAGAGAGAGAGAGAGAGAGCAAGGGAAACATTTAGCATAGAGGGATCTTTTGTTCAACATTTGACCATCTCGGTCGAGCGCATGAAGCGAAATATTAGTAACCCAAACCTAAAAGTGAGGAGCCGAGCGAATACGAAGTTGTCTGGGGTGTTAACGCTCGAAAAAAAGTGTTTAAAACGCTTTACACTACGTGTCCGGTCTATGTGTTCTCTGGTTAGTGTACCCACCCAGCATTTTTGAGTTTAACAGAGCATAAGTTAGTCTTAAAAGACTCGCGCGACGATTGAAAATAGATATATTTGCGCTCATTTTCTGATCATAAAAGACTGTTCTGTCGGGAGAAAATGATACCCTAGCCGCGACTCTTCTTGATAAGTCGCTTCCCAGCAAGCATTTTTGCGTTTAACAGAGCATAAGTTAGTCTTAAAAGACTCGCGCGATGATTGAAAACAGTCATATGTGCGCTCATTTTCTGATCATAAAAGACTGTTCTGTCGGAAGAAAATGGTACCCCAGCAAGCATTTTTGCGTTTAACAGAGCATAAGTTAGTCTTAAAAGACTCGCGCGATGATTGAAAACAGTCATATGTGCGCTCATTTTCTGATCATAAAAGACTGTTCTGTCGGGAGAAAATGGTACCCTACCCGCGACTCTTCTTGATGAGTCGCTTATGACTCTTGTTTTTAATCATAAAAGAGTCTTCCACGAGTCATCTTTTAATCATAAAAGAGTCTTCCACGAGTCATAATTTAATCATTTTTTGACTCATATTCGATTGAAATTTTCAATAATTTGCAATGAAAAGAATTTTTTTCCAGCCTGTCATTGGCACGGACAAAATGCTTTTTTAGCACCGTATTTAAATCCTTATCAGTGCATGTAAATTTTTCATTAGCAATATCTAAAAAGAAAAATATTAATTAATAAAAAATATTATAAATATTTTCCAAAATAATACATACTTTTTATTACGGCTATAATGTAACACCTTTCTGCTGATGGTTTAATTTTTGTCCCCTTCCACCTGGTTTCGGAAGCTACCTTGTCCGAAAAAACTTTTCTGATCGCAGCTCTAACAAATTGTGTGGGCCCATCTCCTCCAACTCTCGATATTAGATGTTCCTAAACATATTAATTAAAAAGAATAAACAAAAATTAAAATAAAATAATATATTAATATTTGTTTCTGTAGTACTCGACATAATCACCTTTTTATTTGTATTTGATATAATTGATATAATTTATTTGTATGCACTTCGCACTTGCACTTCATTTGCACTTTCACGCTCGAATGACAAAATTTGCACATTTCGGCTTGTGCTTAAGAAAAAGTACCGTTTAACTTAGATATAAGCTTAGATAAGAATCGCTTTTCGATCAGCCAAGCGAGCAGAATATGAGTGCATAGTAACAAAGCAAAACCAAGCAATGATAATATTTTAATCACCTGCATGCTTATTTGGCGATTGCTTTGCATTTCGTTTTTGTATTTGAAAGCAATCATACTTTGAGACTATGGAAGGGTCATTTATGAGTCTTCTTTCAATCGCCCAGGAGATTAGTCGTTTTTTAATCGTCAAGGGGACTCAAAAAAGACTCATAAAGACGATTTCTGTTAAAACAGTCTTCCAAACAGTGTTGCCAGGTTTTGAGACATAAAAATAGCAAAATCGTCTCTAAAAAATAGCTGAAAATAGCTAAACAAATTTTAAAATAGCTTACAAAATAGCTGAAACCTTTATGCATTATGCATTTACTTTAAATTTTATTTTTAAATGTTATTTAATAATGTTACAATTTGGTCCACATCCAAATCATCATCAGAATTATATTTTTGATTAACTGGAATCATTTTTAAATATTTGGAAGGCACGGTATAATCATGGCAGCATTTGCCATTGCTGCGCAAGAAGAATTAGCGATGGTATAAATTCACAACTAGTGATGGTATAAGTACGACAAAGTCGTGGTGGTAGTATCGCGCAGATCATTACGTACAATTTGGGACTTAATCGAAAAATGTTTTTTATTTTTTTATTTTTTTGCTTTAAATACTAAAATCAAATTCAAAATATTCGTTTGTAAAATAGCTAAATTTATAGCTAATAGCATTTTCAAAATTTTCATAGCATTTAGGGTTCAAAAATAGCTAAAAATGCTATTAAATAGCTAATCTGGCAACACTGCTTCCAAATGCTTGCTGGGTGCTTATAACTATCGATAGGTACAAAAAACAGCGATAGTTGGTAAAAACTCGATACCTTGATAGTACCATCAGTTTCCCAGATCGGAATAACTTTTGTGTAAATTAAAAATAAATTTGTATTTTTTTCAATACGTATTAGGGTTTCACTTAAATTTGAATATTTTTACGCTGTTCACTCAGAGATAGATGTAGATACGTAGGTGTGGCAAATTAACTGAATAATACTTAATTAATAAAAATGCATTACTTATGCAAAGCAATGAATCCAGAGATTTAAACGCATGCGCTATCGCGCTCAATAATATAAAACTTTGTATGCAATTTTGTAAACACATAAGTATAAACGTATATAATCGAAATATTCAAATCAATTGTAGATGTAATGAAATCAGTGCGAATGAATAAAAACAAGGCAGCTCGAATCTTCGCGTATTTCTGAACCTTTGCAGTACACTACAAAACTTGAAGCATAATTACTCATTGGGTCCCCCTATAAGGATTCTGCTTTGGAAATTGATTAAACTAAGTAAGTCAATAAAATAGTATACATATGAATGCTTGCATATATATTGAACATTTGAGAATTAATCTCACTTCATCATAAATGTAATATTGGTTTTTAAGTAAATAAATTTATATAAATACATACATAAAGGTCTTTGTAAGCAGTGTTTAATCATATCGAGTAATTTGTTGTTGTTTTTTTTTTTTTTTTTTTTTTTACATTTTTCATTTATGTATATGCGTCAATCTCTATAAGACAATTAAGAAACACATAATATGCTAACAAGGACTGCTATTGCTACCAGTACTAGCAAAAGCCACCGCCTGCAACAAATCCCATACCTACCGCCTATACAAACACGTAGTAAGATTACTGCAACAAAGATGTCATCCCACCATCAACGTCATTTTATTCTGCAAACACAAGGATCTAATTCCGGTGGTAATATTGACATTGATATGGCAGAACGAGAACATAGTACGAGCTCGTCTACGCAAACAGTTCCGCTGGAACAACCACTTTCGTCCTTGCATATTCAAAAAAACGAAAATTTTACGCCATTATTTACACATAAGATGCCGCAAACAGTACCATCAGATAAAGTAAGTTTCAAATTAACTAATATATTGATTAAATATAAGACTATCTCAGAATTATTTATTATTTTGTTGATGATGTACTTGTTCAACTAACTGATAAAAAGCCATCGAAAATTTAAAGTGGGACCTTTTTTTTTAAATCAACACCCTATATTTTAAAAATCTGTGTTTGCAGATTTGCTAAGGGTTTGCAACTCATTGAGAATGGAAAAAATATATATAGACTTGCAAGCAGAACTCTGCGTACACCAAGTAAATAAATTTTGGTTGCGTTTAGTTGCCTCTAGTACTTGCTGCCAGGCACTCATGAATGAATCTTATTGCTACCCATTGTGAATGCGAAAACAGTGAATAATGCTTTTGTTAAGGAAGGGCAGAAGGAAGCGTGGCAGGCATAGAGTGATCACTGCGACAAGCTGAGTTGATTTAGCCCTGTCCGTCCGTATGAACGCGTCAATCTTAGAAGATATAAGAGCTAAAGGCTTGAAGTTTTTTCTTACGTCCGTATACTACGCGCTTATCGAGTTTATTTCTGAAAATCGATAGCTACAGTTCAATTAAGTCACAGACCCTGGCAAGAAGCTCTTGGCGAAGTGCAGTTAGCGTTAAACTGTACAACTATTCGAGCACCTGATGCAAGTCCCTTAGAGATGATGATAGGGAACGCTCGATCTCTCGGATTGGTTCCTCCATTGCATTACGGCTGACTTGTCGATTAGGGCGGCATAAAGTCTACAAATAAAGCTAGAAGCATTTTTATAATCAGGGTATAATGGTTTTGTGAAAAGTATGTAACAGGCAGAAAGAGGCGTGGCAGAACCCATTAAGTATATAGTTACGTAGTCATCATACTCCAACAAATTAGAGTATTTCGAATGCATACAGTCACGAGCAAAACTGTAACACGAATTCTATGTTGCAACTTCAAGGGTCTGTACTTCTACTCTGCTTCTACTCTATGGATGTTTAAGATCTTAATTTTATTTTGTTTGTATGATATTTAGCTTTCTTACCTGAACATTTGAAATTATTCGGTTGGCTGGAATAATTATAAGAAATCAAAATTTAAAAAAGTCAAATGTTACAGTTTTGCACCCGAGTCATATTTCAACAAATGTATTTATTAATAATTATTTAATAATTAATGCATAGCTCTTTTGACTTTTTTTTGGTCATTAATGCCATTTGTCATCATTTTTGTTTACCGTCGCACCATTTAAGCAAGAATCGCGCACCAAATGTCCTTGTTCCTATCCCATAGCTCTATCATTCCACTTGGAGCCACCCATAATTCGCAGGCTGCGATTTCACATGACTTCATATATTTTCAATGATATTCATGTCTGAAGAATATTCAGGACACTTCAGGGACTTGAATCCTTGCCATATTGTCCACTTTTTGACCAAATTAGACGTGTTCTTTGAGTCATTGTTCTGCATTTTTCAGTAGTAAAACCCATATGTTTATCTAATTCTCCCAAATTCTTTTGTAAAGTGATCAGGTATTGCTCATGAAACGATATTAAATCGATTAAAACCAAGAGTCAAGCACAATCTTAGTTTATTCTCCCCTAAACCAAAAGAGTGCAGACCCCGCGCTTGACAGTTTGCCTTACTGTACTGTTACAGTCAACAGACTGGACATCCATAAACTCTATGGATGCAAAAATGCAGACCCTTGAAGTTGCAACATAGAATTCATGTTAATGTTTTGCTCGTCACTGTACATAATTTCTCTTATAATCTCTCTTAAGCCACTCTGTAGCTTAATCTTACGACTCTCAAAGCTCGAAGTCGAATCACGCCACTTAAAGCATTTACAAGAAAGGTAACTGTATGATCAGGCCACCTAGAGCTTTGCTATCCATCCACCCAACCTGCCCGCCGGAAACAATTAAAAAAATTTAATTCTCAAAAATTACAATCCTTTTTTTTTTTCTCAAAAAATAACAATTTATTTCTTAAAAATTACAATATTATTTACAGAAATATTACATGCTTTTATATAAACAAAAGGAGCATATCAAGATTTGCGCTTGATAGCCAGTATCGCCTTTCATTTAAACTTTTTCCAGAAGAGGAGAATACTCGCTCGCTTGTTGCAGAGTTTACCGGAATGCATAAAATATTTTTTGCCACCGTTTGCAACTATTTAAGGTCCCTTGCCTCCTGCCAAAAATCTAAGATTGACAAGCTTTAATTTTAGAGTGTGGCATAATATTTATCAATTTCTAAGTCATTTCAATTCTTGTCAGGCTCGTCAAGTTTGCTTTTTATAGTCTGAACACATTTTCAATGGGAAATCAGGGTATAATGGTTTTGTTAAATGTATGTAACAGGCAAAAGGAGGCTTGGCAGACCCCATAAAGTATATATATTCTTGATCAGGGCGACGAGCTGAGTCGATTTAGCTCTGTCCGTCTGTCCGTATGTTTGAACGCGTCGATCTCAGAAGATATAAGAGCTAGGGACTTGAATTTCCTAGATCCGTGTATACCCCGCGCATATCAAGTTTTGCTTTAAATATCGATAACTTGCCCCGTTATTTGTTATTATTAATAGCATTTCTAGCGATTTTAAAATCCTAAATGCTATGAAAATTTTGAAAATGCTATTAGCTATAAATCTAGCTATTTTACAAATGAATATTGTTTAACTTATTTTAGTATTAAAGGAAATAACAGTTTTCCATTAAATCCCAAAATAACAGAATTTAAAGATTGGATGAGGGAGGACGAGTCCGACAACACGCGCGTATATTGCATATACTTCAAATGTAGTAAAATGCAAATCATGCAAAATTACATGATATTAAAATGCATGCCGCGACAAAAAAGCATAAAAGTGCGGTTGGCGGCTTTGGGCTGCCATGATTTTACCGTGCCTTCAAAATTTGTAAACATGAATCCACTTAACCAAAAATACAATTCTACCAATGATTTAGATGTGGACCAAATTGTATCACTATTGAATAACAATTAAAAATAAAACTTTAAGTTAATGCATAATGCATAAAGAGTTCAGCTATTTTGTAAGTTTTTTTATTTTTTTAAAGCTATTTTCAGCTACTTTTTAGAGGCGATTTTGCTATTCTCATGTCTCAAAACCTGACAACACTGGTCCGGACAAGTAGTGTAAAGCATTTTGCACACTTTTTTTTTCGAGCATTACGACCCCAAACAACTTTGTATTTGCTCGGCTCCAAACTTTTAGGCTCGGGCTATATATGGAAGCACAATCATTTCGCTTCGTGCGCTCGACCGAGATGGTCGACTGTTGAACAAAAGATCCCTCTATGCTCAATGTTTCCTTGCTCTCTCTCTCTATCTCTCTCTCAATGCTCTCTGCTCTCTCAAATATGTATATGTATGTATGCATGAGTAGAAGCAGCGGCTCACAAAAATTAAAATTTCTTCGCAGTAAGAGCCCATGTCTTCCCTTCTGTGTTCAGACTATACCAAACTCTTCAAACCGTTTGCCATGCTCATGCAAAATGTTTACGTTTTCGTCAATATTTGTGGAAAGGGTATGAAAGCGTGGGTGCGCATAATGAAAATATTTTCGTGTCGAGCATGCCCACACACACTTACAGTTTGCTACATGTATTAGCATTTGTGCATGTGTGTATGCATGAGACATGAACATTGGCGTGTGCCTACCGCAACTTAGTATTGTGTGAACGATTTTGGGCTCAAATTGAAGAATCGCGGTTATATTTAAGTACCTGATTAGTGTCTTCAGTATTTTCCAATGTTAGGTGAATATTTAATATTGGCGCTCAATATTCATATTTCGTTCAAACATAAATTCTTGTACTACATGCAATCAAATCAATTGCATACCTTCTTTTTAATTGCCTTATAAGCTCTGTTAGAAAATGTTTATGTTTTGTTTACAAAAAAATAACAAAGTTTGATAATATTGCTCAAAATAAGATCATTTGAGTTAAATATAAATAATATTCTAGTTCAGTTAGATCCATTCTATTATTGATACGAAAAATTACTCTGTAAATGAAGAAGCGGAAATAAAGCCAATTATTTTTTTGTTAAATCCAGAATTCCCGCTGCCCGCTGTTTTGGAATTTTTCCCGTGATTGGATTTCCAAGAGAGCCAAATTTAACGTGAAAAAGCTGATTTAGCAATACTACCCTGCACCCCAAACATATTTTTTTGTGAAATGTACAGTGACGAACTAACTTATTGGCACAGCAAGCTTTTTAAACGTTATAGCAACTTTTTAAGTGTTTTTTAACGCTTTCATAGTAAACAAAAAATTTTGGACACCTAATGCTAGAGACCTCAAATTTGGTATATATACTCGGGCTGACCACCTAAGACCAAAAAGCTGCGACGGATATATGTGCGCCCACAGGGGGCGTGGCAAACCGCAAAAGTTTATATCTCCTAAAGTATATTAGCCAGAAACTTCAATTTAAGTTTCTAGTCAGTAACCTCTTCTATCGATGAGCCAAAAATAAATGTAATTTTGTAATTGAGCGTAAGCATTCAAGTTAGAGTACCGCTAGCTCATTCTAAGAACTGACCAAAAATGAGGTGTCTACGCCTAGTAAGGGCGTGGCAAATCGAGAAAAATTTTCTACTAATATTACTACTAATATTAGAGCTAAACTTATCTTATAAATTGCTGATGGGATGTGAATGAGTATTCCACAGCCGATAACGCCCGACTGCAACGTTCTAACTTTTTTATATCCTGAACCCATTGAAAATGGGAAACCAGGGTATAATGCTTTTGTTGAAAGATATGTAATCGGCAAATGGAGGCATGGCAGACCCCACAAAGTATATATATTCTTGATCAGGACGACGAGCTGAGTCGATTTAGCCCTGTCCGTCTGTCCTTCTGTCCGAATGTTTGAACGTGTCGATTTTAGAAGATATAAGAGCTAGACTTTTTTTTTAAAGGACTGTATATTCAGCGCGGCTGTCGAGCTTATCGTCAAAAATCGATAAATCATCCCATTATGTTTTTATCGACAAAAAACACTGAAGTTCAGTTCAGATGCCTGTATTGTGAATGATTTCTACTTTTTATACCATGAACTTATTGAAAATGGGAAATCAGGGTATAATGGTTTTGTGAAAAGAATATAAGAGGCAGAAGGAGGCGTGGCAGACCCCATAAAGTGTATATATTCTTGATCAGGGCAATGAGCTGAGTCGATGTAGCCCTATCCGTTTGTATGAACGCCTAGATCTTAGAAGTTATAAGAGCTAGAGAGCTGAAACTTTGCATGTGGACTCGTGTATACCATACGCAGTACAAGTTTATCATATTTTTCGATAACTCATCCGATAACTTGTTTTTCGAGAAAATTCGAAAAATGGATTTTGTTTTTCCAGCCTAATTTGAACACTTTCAGACCTGAAGACTTCAGATTTACTGTGTATATACATACATTTGATGGATAAATACATTTTTGTTTTTCCTTCTGGGTGCGTCTAGGTTCAGGGCTTAAAAAAAATACTTCTATAAAAGGATTTGTGAGTTAATATATTTTGAAAGTTGAAAGTTCTTTTTTTTTTACAGATCAACTTACGTTTAATTTTGGTAAGCGGTAAAACAAAAGAATTTGTTTTTAATACAACAGATTCTGCTGGTGACATTGCTCAAACTGTTTTTGATAATTGGCCTGTTGGTGAGTAATTTAAATGGATAAAAATGTTCAAATGCGATCCTTAAATTATATATTTAAATTATAAATACTGACCATACAAATAAGTAAGAACGTTGCAGTCGGGTGTTACCGATTGCAGGATACCCATAAAGTATATATAATCTTGAACAGGACGACGAGCTGAGTCGATATAGCCCTGTCCGTCTGTCCGTCCGTCCGTCCGTCCGTATGAGCAAAAGGATCTCAGAAGATATAAGAGCTAGAAAGCTGAAATTTGGCATGCATACTCGTGGATACCATAGGCAGTACAAGAGAATAATCGAAAAATCGACTTGGTTTTTTCAGCCTAATTTGAACACTTTTAGACCTGGAGACAAATTTGCATTGTATATAAAGTTAATGGATACAAAGATTTTGTAATTTACAGATTTTAGATACCACGCCCCCTTCGGCCCCAATTTGTAAAAAACGAATTTCAAGTACTAGAGACTTGTGCTCTGGAATGTACACTCATTTTTACATATGATTACGCTCTGAAAGTTTCATTAAGATTGTATGTCTACAAAAGAAATTATTCAACAAATAAATTCTCATAATATTGCTCACACTGCAGCGCAGCCCAAGCGCAGTCGCTGCTTACTGCGCAGTTAGCAGAGCGCGTTGTTATACGCGCATCTGGATGCATGTGTATGTATGTGTGCATAGAAGAAGTGCAGAATGATTAGAATATCAGCTTAGAGGGTTCAGGGTATCTCCTAGTCGAGCAGTCTCGACTGGAGCCTTCTTACTTGTTATACCCTGAACCCATTGAAAATGGGAAGTCAGGGTATAATGGTTTTGTTGAAATGTATGTAACAGGCAAAAGGAGGCGTGGCAGACCCCACAAAGTATATAAGTATATTCTTGATCAGGACGACGAGCTGAGTCGCCCAATCCGTCTGTCCGTATGTATGAACGCATCGATTTCAGAAGAAAAAAGAGATAGTGACTTCAAATTCTTTTTTAAAATGTTCGTAATTCGCGGATATCGAGTTTATCATCAAAAATCGATAAATCTTCCCGTTATTTTTCATCGATAAAAAGCCTTATCGGAAATCAGTTATAAAACACACACACACACACCCTGCACGAAGCTGTAGGCAAGGCCTTAGGCGACCGAGCGGTAGTTAAAACACTTATCGAATCGGCTCAAATTGAGATTCGCGACCTAGATGAGCTAGCAAGCAAAGAGGATATCTTGGACGCCGTTAGGGTGGAGTTGAAGGAGAGCTCACTCCCCATTGAGGTTATCAAATCGCTTCGACCAGCCTTGCGTGGGTAGCAAAGAGCTACGGTTGCTCTCCCAATTGGGAAAGCCAAAACTCTGCTCGAGCTGTCCAAAATTAGAATAGGATGGGTAGTATGCCGTATCCGAGCCGTGGACCAGCCTAATCGCTGTCTCAAGTGCCTCGATTATGGATATATTGCAGCCAACTGCGACAGCGACTGTGACCTAAAGGGTGCCTATTTCAGGTGTGGAGAGATGGGTCACAGTGAAAAAGCATGCATCAAGCCACCTAAATGTAGCCTCTGCGTCCGGAAAGATGAAAAGCAGACGGACCACTCAGCAGGCAGCTTTAGTGTCCATCCTACCGTGAAGCTGCGCGTAAAATGAAATGTTGAGGTTTTTGCAGCTTAACTTAAATCACTGTGTTGCTGCCCAAGATCTACTAGGGCAGACCATAAGAGAAAAAGGCATTGACGTAGCCTTTCTCAGTGAGCCTCATCACTGTAGGGCCACCTGCCATAGGACATGGGCAACAGACGCCAATGGCAAAGCTGTGTTGTGGGTATGTGGCAACTCAACGAATGTACTTTCGAATAGAGGTGGGCATGGGCCGACTTTTTTGCACCCAGCCCGATCCGCCCACGGTCAAAAGTTGAAAATTTTATCCGTACCCGAAAGCAAATAATTTTTCATAACCGCACCCAACCCGCCCGCCCGAAACACTTTAAAAAAATTTAATTCTCAAATATTACAACAAATTTTTTGTTCTCAAACATAACAACAATTTAATTCTTAAAAATTACAATATCATTTACAGAAATATTACATGTTTTTATATAAAAAAGAGGAGCATATCAACATTTGCGCTTAATAGCCTTGTTCCCCTTTCATTTAAAATTTTTCCAGAAGAGGAGAATACTCGCTCGCTTGTTGCACAGCTTACCTGAATACATATAATATTTTTTGCCGCAATTTAAGGTCCGTTGCCTCCTGCCAAAAATCTAAGATTGACAAGTTTGAATTATAGCGTGTGGCATAATATTTATCAATTGCATTTTTGCCAGGCTCGTCAAGTTTTCTTTTTTTTTGTTGTTGATTTTTGTCCAAAAATTCTAGAAATTCAAGATTCAAATTTGTCGGAGAGTTCTCAATTCTCGCGTCCCCAATTGAATCATTTTGCATATCATAAATTTCAACCATCTTGCTTTTGACGGTCTCCAAAATATGTTTTTTTTTCAGGTAAAACGGGTTGAGCGGCGTTACCCGCACCCGCCCGCACCCAACCCGAAACTCGATTTTTCTGCCCATACCCACGGGTAACCGCGGGTGCCTACGGGTACCCGATAAAAGCTTGACCCGTGCCCACCTCTACTTTCGAATGTAAAGTCATTCAATGGGTTCGTACGTGGCCGAAATGGTAACTTATGGCTCTACAGCTGCTACCTGGCCCCCAGCATGCAGCTCAGTGAATTCACAACGGTGCTTGACGTGCTTGCCGAGGATGCTAGGGGTCGGAAGGCCATTATAGCAGGAGAATGGGCGTTAGAATGGGATAGCCATACGCTTGATGTTGCACTGCTCAACACTGGTCACGAGTTCACCTTCAGTCGAGCTGGATACGGATCTGTTATTGACATTACTTTTGTCACCTCATCCTTCTTCCGGGAAGCAACATGGAGCCATTGCGATAGCTATACGGGCAGCGATCATACTGCACTCCTGTTCACAATAGGTGCCCTGCCAGGGCGTCAACCCTGTGGAGGGAATCGTATCGGCTGGATACTTTTGATCCCGCGGCTTTTTCAAAGGCCATTCAGTCTCTGGGCACAATTGGTAAGCATGCCAAATGGTAGCCCAAATTAAGAGTGCCTGCAATAGCAGCATGTAATGTTGCAAGCAGCTCACGCGACAACATGAGCTAACGTATTGGTGGAATGCAAAAATCGGGGTAGGTGTACGTTTTTCGAAAAACAATTAGCTTACCAGGCAGCCAGAAAACAGTTGAAGAAGGCCATTCGGGCAAGCAAACGAGAATGCTTTCTAGAGTTGTGCGACTCAGCCGAACATGACCCTTGGGGCAGGGCATATAAGATAGTAGTTAAAAGACTATACGCATCTAAACAGGTGCAGCCGACGGATCGTCTGGAGCTTAAATCGATTGTGGAAACGCTCTTCCCAGAAAGATTAAGCTCCAATCATGCCCCTTAGTAGCTCTCAGAGGTCTTAGAACTAACACAGCTCCAGGACCGGACGGAATCCCAAATCGTGCGCTAAAGCTAGCCCTCGCCTTGCATACTAGTACGTTTGCCGAATTATTCAACGAATGTTTAATTCAGGAGACGTTCCCTGCAGCCTGGAAAACTCAGAACTTTGTATTGCTACCAAGGCTGGCAAACCACCAGGGGAACCATTTTCGTATAGACCAATCTGTCTCCTAGACACCATAGGAAAGGTGTTTGAGAAACTGGTTGGCTCTAAACTGGAGACTTCTATTGCTAGCGCCGGTGGCCTGCCACCTAACCAAGGAAGGCTCGGTCAACAACAGATGCGCCTGGCATTCCGCTATCCAAGGCACCAGATGGAGGCACCGGACGAAGCAATACTGCATCATCGTGACTAGCTAGTTGGGATATGATACTGGATGCGCTATCACAATATCCCTAAATATCTAAAAGAGATAATAAAGAGCTACTTCAGAGGAAGAACACTGGTATACAACACGAGTGAAGGTCCCCAAACTCATACAGTGTCAACTGGAGTACCACAAGGCTCAGTGCTGGGGCCTCTCCTATGGAATATTATGTACGACGGCGTATTGCGCTTGGAACTTCCAGCAGGTGCGCACAACATTGGCTTTGTTGATGATGTAGCTTTCGTCTCCATAGGCAAGGAGCTTAAAGATACTGAGCATATGTGCAGCGCAAGAATCAATCGGATTCGAAACTGGTTGACAAGAGCTGGGCTCGAGCTAGCAGCAGTCGCAAAAGAGTGGAAACTGCCAATATAAAAGTCGGCACCATCGTTACTTTTGCTTCAAAGAGGGCGATAATCTTGGCGTCACAACGACACAAGATTAACTTTCCGCGAGCACCTAGAATATGTGCATAAAAAGGCAGCTGGCTCTTGTAGAGCTCTCTCAAGAATTACGCTTAACACGCGGGGACCAAAACAGCAACGACATCTCCTTCTAATGAGCGTCATTAGGTCCGTCATTCTCAATGCTGCGCCAATATGGGAAAGGGCGATGGCAACGCCGAGGTACAGCCGGGGCATTTGCGCTATCTACAGACTGAGCGCAATCAAAGTCTGCTGCGCGTTCAGAACAGTCTCTGACGACGCGGCGCTCGTCATAGCCGGCATGGTGCCTCTGGAGGACTTACTCGCCGAAGCCGTGGAACGGAATGCACACGAGCCTCTGCAACGCAACAATATCAGAGCGAACAGCATTGCACGATGGCAAAGAAGGTGGAGCAGCTCAACTAAAGGGCGGTGGACACATACTCTCATCCCGGGACTTGAGCCATGGGTAAACCGCAAACACGGCGTGGTTAATTTTTATCTTGCGCAGATTCTTTCGGGACATGGGTGCTTTCGGAGCTACTTAAAGCGCTTTGGCCATGAAGAAACCGACGAATGCTCTTGGTGCGGACGAGGTCTGGTGGAGGGCGCCAACCACGTCTTATTTGAATGTGGACGCTTCCTAGAGGAGGGGCGTTGTCTGGAAGAAGCAGTGGGCCGCTCTCTTAGAGCAGAC